AGTTTTAACTCCACGATTTGTACTCATGATTGTGATCTTTGTATTTGTAATTGATATAACCCATATGACGAGATGGATGAGGACAGAGGCGGACCCAGGAAATCCATCTTGGGGGTTCAAAATATTTTTTTGGGGCAAAAATTATTTTTTTGAGGGGGCGAAAATAGGGGTGGACAAACGGGTACTGGAACCGCGGGTCAGGTCGGGTAATACAGGATCGGGGCGGGTTAGGGTTGGGTCCTAATTTTAGAAAACCCAAACAGTTCGGGGCGAGTCCTAAAAAACTTAAATTAGGAACCGAACGGGTCTTAAAATTTGAAAAAATGGGTACCCGGACCGGACCATTTTAAAATATTATTTTAATAATCTCTACTATATTTAACACTAGTATAATATAATATACTAACAACACACGAAAGCTCTTCATGTTCTTGTGTCTAAACAAAGATTTCCAATTAAAGAAACTTCTCAGTCTATTAAAAATAGTTTCCAAGTCCGTATAATTAAACTCCTAAATTATTTTCCTCAATTCTTTATTCTAAATGCATCAAACTTTCTTTCTTTAATATTTTTTGTAAACAAAGACTCTATCTACTCAATGAAGTGTGTCATATTCATATAATTATCTTACTTTTACTTATACTTGGAGATTTAATAAGTTTTAAATTGTTTTCATAGACATATATGTACGGTAACTAGTTTAATTTGTATGAGTTTATGGTGCTACCTTTGTAATTAGATTATGAATGATGATTAACATTTTAATTAAGGTGGTTGTTTGATGTTTAATTTATAGATCTGTGGAATGTGGTTCAGTATTTTGTTAACTAATTTAAAATGTTGTCTTATGCTTTTAGTTTGAATTTTTACAATAATATATGGTTACATTAATACGTAATTAATTTGAGAATTTTACAACTTACTAGAAACTATACTCGCATAGCCGTATTTTTTTTACAAAAAAAAACCGAGGACTTGGACCGAACCGACCCGTTTCAAACGGGGCGGGTAAGGTCCGGTTCCTATTTCAAAACTTAGTATACCCGCACCGAACCTACCCGTTGAATGGAATCGACGGTTCTTGAAAATTTATCAATTACCCGAACCGATGCGGACCATGCCCACCCCTAGGCGAAAATTATTTTTTCGTATATATATACCCTACAAAATTGTTGGGGGGGGGGGGGGGCAGTAACCCCTCTGGGTCTCTACTACGGTCCGCCCTTGGATAAGAAGAGATATTATAGAATTTACACTTCTAGATGGAAAATAATTGGAAACTTTAAAGCACAACGAACTTCAAGCTGAAACACATGCATTTTATTATGCGCATTTAATGTGATATGATACCTTTGAAATATGCATTGAAATGATACCAAATGATCATATGTAACTTTCAAAATGCGCATTAATATAAAAATCGTAAGGTTCGTTAGTTGAACGTCATGACATTTTCATTGAGCATCAAACATCTTCTATTGAGATGAAAATCATGGTTTCTGTCAACTGAGCATTAATGAACTTTTACTGAGCATTACATTTATTGTCACGCCCCAGACCGCAATCCAAGCGCGTGTACAACCGCCGTATAACTAAGTGACGTCACCCACGAGTCAACCTCACTTGATTACACCAGGCGTTCGAGAAAACAATCCATCCATACTCAGTAGTAAACATACATAACAACATCACATTTAAACCAATGAATAGCGGAAATATTCAACGGTAAGTCATGGGCCACAACCGGCCAACATCATGGGCATGCAAGCCCCAAAATAGTTTATAGTAAAACAAATATCCATGAGCAAGTGTTCAGTAGTTTGAAAGAAAATAAGGAAGCACGAACTACGTCTCCCTGATTTGATATCGCCCGTGAGAAAGGTGCAAGTAGCAAGCCCTAGCTTCAACCTGAAAATGGTGGGGGCCCCCGAAGGGGTCAGTACAAGTACCGAGCGAGTAGCAGGCTAAATATAGAATAACTAGCGTTTCAAGTATAAGACCCAAACATAGGGTGATACTTAAATAAATAGTCTTTTCCCCAAGTTATGAAATACTTATTAGTATATATATACTTGGAAAATATCTGATCCGTAGATCACCATTTTATTTGGGAAAAATAGTAATAGTCAATATTCTTGACTAAAAACCCCAACCCACCCATATACCTATGAGTGTATAGGACTCCTCCTTGTCCCTATTTGTATATCATAATCTATGAGTTTTAGGATCATGATCCTTGGATACTCCACCGGTTTGTGAGTGTTAAGGACTCATAAGTCCTAGGGTCCTCCACCAAGTTTTGAGTGTTAAGTACTTTTAAGTACTAGGGTCCTCCACCAAGTTTGAGTGTTAAGTACTTTTAAGTACTAGGGTCCTCCACCAAGTTTGAGTGTTAAGGACTTTAAGTCCTAGGGTCCTCCACCAAGTTTTGAGTGTTAAGTACTTTTAAGTACTAGGGTCCTCCACCAAGTTTGAGTGTTAAGTACTTTTAAGTACTAGGGTCCTCCACCAAGTTTTGAGTGTTAAGTACTTTTTAAGTACTAGGGTCCTCCACCAAGTTTTCCTATGATCAACTTCCTATCAACCTAGATAGAGTCTATATCATACTTAGTTACTCATAACTAATCCAATACATAAATCTTATGTATCACAATCCATGCAAAACCATGCATTTATATAGATTTATAATTAATTAATACCCACCGGTATTAATTAAATCCTTTGTTCTTCGGTCCACGTTTTTGTTGACCGCCATTTCATGCCTTGTGCGTATCAACTTAATCATCATATAATTAAGTTAATAATATTCATTTGTGCTCCTAATACACTTCAAGCAAATATGCATTTCATATAATTCTTCATATCATATTCCATGCATCAACAATTAATTCCTTTCATACAAACTTAACCCTATTGGCTAATCACATGTTTACATATCTTTTAAACATCATTATGAACTCATATAACATTTATTTAGGTAATCTCATAATTAACTCAAAAGTTATAAGATATTAAGCCGTTCACTCACCTTGAACTAGCGTATGAAGTTCTACCCTTCTTGGTTGGACTCCGGTGAAACTCCGGCGACTTTTGGTCAACTCCGGCGACAACTCCGGCGACTTTTCCAACCTTGTGAAATCACTTGAAATACCTTTCACAAGTTCCTAACAAGGTTTTATAATCATAAAACCCATATTGATGCAAATAACCTCAAAACGGTTATTTTCCGGTGAACCGGTCGTTTTGGCTTCTAAGTCCGTTCTTGGACATAGAATCACTTTCCAACCCATTAATCCATACTTATAACTTGTAGAACCCTCTTAAGGATTCTTCACATGATATATATCTCATATGGTAGAAGAAAAATAATGAAAAAGTTATAATAAGGTCATTACCTTAATTCTACACACTTTTCCTAGCCTTTTTCCTTCTTTAATCCCACTCCTTGGACTACTTTTGGTTGAGCTCGAGTTGCAGCAATGGAGAATATCTTGAGAGCTTCCTCTTCCTCCTCCTTTGATGGTTTGGCCGAAATTATGGGGTGGGTGAGTGAGGAGATAGCCTCTTTGGCTTTTCTCTCAAAATAATGTGGGAATGGTCCTCCCCATTGTACTTTTGATGCCAAATGCATCTCCTCCTCATTTCCTCTTGTCAACCCAGCTCTCAATTGATGTGTTTAGCACATAAAAACGTGGGGTGGCCCCCACTCATGTGGGAGGTCATCCCTTTGTGTCCCGATGTGTACAATCGGTCCTGAAAGTTGTATTTTTCGGACTGTTTTAAATATATTTTATTTTATCGGGTCAAATAAAATATATTATGTGCTCTTACTCATTATGACATGTATAATGAATATACATTCCCCAACTTTAATTTATAAGCCCCCGAAATTCAGTTCGGGCTGTTATCAGTTAAATTACCAGTACCGGTAATTTGGGCTTCTTTTGACCAATCGGTCAACTCCGGGCCTTTCCATGGCCCAAATGAAATATCCACCACTATATATTTATTATCTAGACCACGATGAATAAAATATATGGTCTCGGGAAAGTCGGGCGGCCCCCGCTCCCGGTGTGGGTCCCACGTGCAATTTACTATTCACGCGAAAGAATAAATAAAAATTTACAACTTCGTAAATTCATAAATCATTCCATAAGGTTTATTACATCATTTACGTAAAAGTAAATACATTTGGGGACGGTGTTACATTTATTCTGTTGAGTATTAGGAGTCTGATATTGAGCAGCGTGATACTTTTGAAATATGAATCTATATGACATATTAAAATGAACATAATGCCAGTACTAATGAGCATACATAACCTACAAAATGAGTATCAAAAAATTAAAAATGTCATCTGAAATCGCTAATGCGCTCAAATCCTCATTTGTATATGCTCATTTCGTTTAAGCGTTTGGTCATTTGATATGTGAGAGCGCTACCGCATGAGTTGGATTGTTACACCAACATCTGATGAACATACATAATTTACGAAATGAGCATCGAAAAAATTCAAAAACTCATTTAAAATCTCTAGTATGCTCAAATTTTTATTTGTACATGTTCATTTGAATATTCTAATGTGCTCAATATTCATTTATGTATGTTCAATTCTTTTAACAGTTATGCACATTTATTATAAACACTATACTCATTTTCAATATAAGATACGGAATAAAACTTAGGGAAAACTGTCAAATAGGTCCTCGAACTTTCATAAAAAGTCAATTAAGTCCTTTTATAGGAGGTTCTGTCCGGCCGTCGCGATTTGGGGCAGTTCCCGGTGGAATTTTTTGATGAAATTTTTTTAGCATCTTATTCACCAAGTCTAGTTTACTCATACCAAATTGCAGCTAAAAATTCAATTGGGAACACATTCAAATTAATTCTTGAAGATAACTGCGCATTTTTGCGTTCTCGAATTAATTTGAATGCGCTCCCGGTTAAATTTTTAGCTGAAATTTGGTATGAGTAAACTAGACTTGGTGAATAAGATGCTCAAAAAATTTCATCAAAAAATTCCACCGGGAACCGCCCCAAATCGCGACGACCGGACAGAGTCTCCTATAGAAGGACTTAATTGACTTTTTTATAAAAGTTCGAGGAACTATTTGACAGTTTTCCCTAAAACTTATGTTGGCAATTAAAAAATTTAAAATACAAGCTTAAAATCGTAGTAGTGGGATTTGAGAAATAAAATACAAGACCACACTCTGATTCTCCATCGGCAACTCCCCACAAACCTCAAAACCATTTTGACTACTATCAAAGAAGATATTGACTCCTGCAGCTCCTATATGAACAAAACTCGATGCAACTTCTTCTTTCACACGGGATCTGCCTTGAATCAAAACCTTCTCGCTACTATCTTTCTTCTCTTATGAACTTTCTGAAAGATAAGAGCAGGGCAGCACCTCACATCAATCGGTGCCTTCTTCATCAACTTCCTGGAACTAGACAGCAAGATCAGCCACGATGACCTCCTCACGTTCTACGCCGACTTCTCCATCATCCGGCATATATGGATGGAAGAAAAGACTCAAAGTTCAAGAGAATTGCAAAAATACTGAGTGTATAAGTACACCCGGGTGAACCTTATAACTGCACCTATTGACCAATCTAAACTGGTTTTATAAAGTTCAATATTATGTCTATTTTACTATTGCATAAATCTAGTTTAATTTAGTTTGTTACTCTGTTTAAATCCAGTCTTATGTGTTTATGTATGAATCAGTATGATCAAGTTTAATATGGTGTGGTTTCCAAAAAAACATCCTAAAACGTTGTTGAGAATTGAAAATGTAAATTAAAGATGATCTAAGAACCCTCTCTAACATAAAACAAGTGACTTGAACATTAAAATATCAAAAGTTAAATACTCCGTAGAAAAGAAAAAATCATTTTGAGACTTCTAAAAAATAAATACAATCACGTAGTAAAACATATGGGCTCACTCAATCCAAACCAACGATATTCTGACTCATTATTTATACTATAATGGTTGGGTGTGATTCTGTAGAGAAACGTCTCTCGATAGAATTGATCAAAATAGCAATGAGCACTCCAAACTTGTGTACACGGGCATGAACTGGGAGAGAAATTCACCGGCCAAACCAGCCTCGTGGTGGCTGGACATCCCCATCATTCATTAACTTGTCCAAAACCACATTCAAGTCCACTGCCTGTCCATTATCTGTCAACTTTCTGACTGTTTCCCTCACCTGGTCTCTCGGAAATCCCATGAGTGTCACTTTGTCCACTACATCGTCAACAGGAACCCTGTTTCCAGACCCAGTAGAACCTGCACTGCCAACAACAGGAGATGCAGTAGGAGGTGCTTGAGGCAATATCTTTGCTGTTGGAAGTTGGGTATAGCCACTTCCACCACTCTGGTGATTCATGGTCATCGGAAGTTGTGATTTGCTGGGTGACCCACTTCCATACTGGGAAAATGAGCTACTATGTAGATAAGGTTCACCCGGTACAGATGACGGACCATACCCACCAGAAAATCCTGGACCAGGCCGGCTGGATGGTATCTCATATATGTTGTTAGGAGGAGCTCCATAGAACTGCTGTGACAAAGCTCCACCAGATGGCATAGAAGGACTTTTGTGGATATTTGGTGGATAGCCCTGATGTGGTGGTATAAATGATGCTTCTTCAGTATGATGCCCTAACGAAGGTTGAGGTTTAGGTTGAGGTGACTGAGATGGATTGGCAGAAGGAAAGGCAGGGTTTAATTGAGGAGGCTGAGAGTACTGAAGTTGAGGTGTGGACTGATACTGAGGTGGTGGTGGAGGGGGAGATGGCTGGATCTGCTGAGATAAAGGCATCTGATATAGCTGGCTTGGAATTTCAGGTGTTAGGCCAGGTGCAGGAGTATAAGATTCTCGAGGAGGAACTGAAGAAATTTGATTCAACTGATATTGTTGGTTTGGAATCTGTGCCTGAGATGGCAGATTCTGTTGTGGATGATGATGGGGTGGAGGAAAGGATTGTGATGGAAGCTGTGCAACAGCAGAAGGAAAAGCTGATTGTTGATGATGAGAGTGTTGGGGAGCAGATGCGGCCTGCAAAGAATCACTGGGATGGGTGCCATGGCCCCCTACCACCTGCTGCTCAACCTCAAGCTTTGCAGCAATCTGCATCTTTGCTTCTGCTATATCTTGTTTATCTCTGATCACTTTAACTTCAGTATGCACCTGTAATCAATTATTAATTGTCAAAGTCTGAGGTAGATCTATCTACAAATTCAAAAACAGTTGACCACATAATAAACCAACCCTTCTTCAACAGGCAAAAGCAATAAAGTTCAGGTGAGCAGGGGGGGGGGGGGGACAGAGAGATCTGTGTACGTGAGTGTGTGTCTATGAATGCGTATTGACTGTACCTCTCTCACAAGATTTTCTAGGTGTCTCAATTTTCCATCAGTGCTCCCAAAATTGTCGCCAACAGCCAACTTTAGATCATCCATAGAACTTTCAATCTGCCGTGTTCTTGTTTCTAATTGTGATATTCGTGCACTTACACCTTCCAGAGCATGCAGCAGGTTATCAGTATATTTCTTCAAAATGTGATCAATCTCAGATATCAAGGTTGGATCAAATCTATTCTCATTCTTCTCTACAATGACTTTAGCAGGTTCCATGGATTCGTGAGATCCATATATCTGAGTAAAAGAAACATATATCATCACCCCATTAATGTATAAAAACTGTGATGCAGGAAAATTAGAAAACACTCATATATCTAAAAAAGAAAGATGGCAGCCCCTAGTATAGAAGGTTCGTGTGGATTGAGGAAGACGGGGAAGGGGGGGGGGGGGGGGGCAATTGTATCATTTGTTTAGCTCTTTTGGTAGGGAGTAGCTATGAGAAGTTCATGGATGGATGCTCAACATCCTTTCACTCTCCTCAACTACATTTAAATGCCCTCCCTCCAAAATGGAGAAAAGTGGAGGGATAGGAAATTGGAAATGGCACTCTCAATCAAAACTATAATCTTTTAAGAATTATTCTTCACGTACATTTCCTTTTCTAATATAAACGAGAGAAAAACATAATCCTTTAGAACTCTACCTCTTCCTCTCCTTTGAAATTGATTACTTTCCTTTACTGACTTCCACTAACCTCAATCATAATACAAATGATTGTGAGCCATATAAATATGACCAAATATGGTATGGACAAACATTTAGGGACAGAACCAGGGGCGTAGACAGGGGGTGGCCATCCCTGGCCATGGCCCAGCCCAAATTTTAAAAATGTCTGAATTTTTAGAGTAAAAAATTCTGAGTAAATTTTTTTTCAAAAATATTCTTTGTACCGGCCCAATCCGGCCCAGTGTTCTGGCTCCGCCCATGGACAGAACAAATTGGAAAACATATTGGTTGTATAATTATAATGAACTAAAAAGTAATTACTCTTATACTGATCAAGTAATTTTGAAAATTGTCAAACTGAAAATCATTTCATTATCTTGTTTTCAGAAAACATAAAACATTGCTGAACGCCTGAACCAGGCCCTAGGATTAAGTGTCTAACCATCCGACATTCCGACATCAATAAGATCATTAGTTTCCATTATCAAACAACTGCGCTTAAACTTAAAGTAATCAACAACAACAAAAGCAAAACGGTCGGCAAGACAACGCCTCAGGTAAACCCTAACAAGAGAGGATTCCGATTCTGCACCGGCCGCATTTAATTCCACAAGCACACAAACTAAGAAAGAGGGAGAGTGAGAGAGACGATGCTTACACTGATGCTTGCTGTGCTAGTTTTAGAATCAGCGGAATTCCAAGCTTTAGGAACACTAACATTGCTTGAATTAGCGTTAGGCAACGACTGTGGCGACGACACAACAGGGCGAATGGGATGGAATTCATAGCTCGGAACAATCTCCTCTTTCTTGGGGCCAGTTGCGGTGAGATCCTGTTCCGTGTTCACGAAATCGATAAAATCAGCTTTGCTGTTCCCAGCGGTGGGCGAAGTCGATAGATCCATGATCTGCTTATCCATGAACTGCGACGTATTCATCGATTTGCGTGTCCAGGAATTTTACAATGGGCAGGAAGTCCTAAAAGTATTTAAAAAGTTGAGGTAGCTGTAGAAATTGACGTTTAAAGATATCACCGGGTTTTACTTACGCCCCACGTTGCCTTTCTTATGCACTGACAAAAATGCTCCTTTCTCTCTCTAAACTTGTTCATCATATGCAAATTCATTCGGGTGGATGGCAAGACGCCCTTCCAAAATCCCCACGAAGTACCTAGAAGGCTAAAATAGTTGATGGCAACATAAGAGATGTGGTAGTGTGAGAGACTGATCTCAATCGTTGATCAGTGTCTAGTTTAAATACATTATGTACAAACGACTATTGGGAAAAAGTTTATTGTTAACGATAGGTGGAGATATCTCAAAGTTGATACAGTTTCAATTGGTGTCATAGTTGTTGAATCTTTTGATATGAATAGAGGCATATTTTGATGATAAAAAAAAACGATAAGTGAAAATATTATATAACTTTGGAGTCATTGCATATCTTGTGATTTATCTGAATGCAATTCTGGTAAGGTGGGATTTTCGATTAGAATACTTCGTATTAGACAAGTTTCAGCCTCGAACAACTCGACTACAAAAACAAATTGTCGATTTTAGTTGTATTTGTATAGAAAAAGATTTTCGAGATAAAATAATTTGTCTGTTAGACAAAAAACATCATATTTGAGTTTATTTCCGAAAGATTTAGTTGTTAGTTATGTCTTTGAGAGAAATATTGAATATATAGATGACTAGGTTGACTTTAGTACAATATTTTCACTCTTTTTTTGTGGCATTGCTTCATTAGTTTGAAGTTTGGACTAATCTATCTTTTAGAAACAATTTCAATATTTATGATTGTATTTTTTGAGAGATGCCTATCGTGTAACTTCTGGATTTAATTATACGTTTGAAGAAGGGAAACAATGGCACACCAGTTACGGAGTTACGGTGTTGGGTGTTGCTATGTGACTGAGAGGTCAAGGGTTCAAATATTCGGGCATCTTCTTGTTAATCAAAATGATAATGGAAGACTTGTTAAGATAACTGCACAGTTATCTTCAAAAAATCATTTGACTACCTTCCCGGTTGAATTTTTTACTGAAATTTGGTATGGGTAAACTAGACTTAATGAAGAAGATTCTCAAAAACTTTCATCAAAAAATTCCACCGGGAACCGCCCCAATTGGCGACGACCGGGCAGAACCTCCTATATAAGGGACTAATTGAACACTTTAAGTTAGTTCAAGGACCTATTTGACCCTTTAGCCTTTTTATATTATGATTTTCAAGCAGTACATTTTACAATCACAACTCATAATTTAAAATAGATCCATGAAAGAGCATCGCCCATAGTCCATGCAATACTAGAGAAGCTGAGTCCGTCCTAGGTTTATAATGTTTCTTCTAATGCATGGGGATTATTTTACCTTGTGCCTGTGATCCACTTATGTAAATTAAGATTATTTGTTATTCTGTTTTGTTCTAAATTATATGTATATTGTTTGCGATATGTAAGGCATATATGAACATAACTTAGAACTGATAATTGTATATTTGTATGTTTCTTTTTCTTCCTAATGGTGGTATTTCATTTACTTATTGCATGGACTAGTGCTGGACTCGAGTTGGGTCGGGTCCGGGCCGGGCCTAGGCCCGGGCGAGCCGCCGGTTCTGAATAGTTGGGCCTGGGACCGGCCCGGGTAGCTACCGGGTCCGGGCCGGGCCTCGAGCCTCTTTATATTTTTTTTTTCTTTTTCTCATTAACCCCCGACCCCCCCGTCACCCCCCCACCCCCAATTCCCCCCCCCCCCCCCCCCAACACCCAACCCAACCCGTTGGAATAAAAAAAATGAAACAAAATTGATTTTGGCCCGAACTGGGCCGGGCCGGATCTTATTTTGGCAACACCATGCCCGGAACCGTCTCCCACTTGGGCCGGGTCAAAGCCCGGTACCCGGACTGGTGAACCGGGCCGGTCCTGGGCCCGCACAATAGCGAGTCGGACCGGTTCGCGGGCCGGGTGGCCCGACCCGAGTCCACCACTAGCCTGGACTTGATAAGCAAACCAAATTTATTCATTTCACATTTTCACGTGTTAAAAGTTTGAATTTGATAGAATCTTAACTCAAGCTTATACAAATCATACAGCATCTTCAAATTTACCGCATGCTTGAGAAAATGTAAAAGAACAATATATTTTTTCTTTGCTATACGTAATTTTTTATTGAAGTTTTTCTTAAAAGATTATTGAAAAGAATTATAGATAAAAATGTGATTAAAATTACTATGACTCTACACTCATGGTCACATTTGTACAGATATATAAAATTAAACATAATAGTCACTCTATTGAAATCATATACTCCGGACTACATTTGAAGTTACTATTTGTCATTTTTTTCATTTTTTATTGCATTATGAAGTGAGCGTCACCAGTTCACTCCTCGATATGTTTAAGATTCATCATTTCTATCATCGATCTGCCTTCCAAAGAAAAAATGGCAACCACATATAATTATATAGACTGTTTTTCTTGTTTAACAAAATAAGCATTTTTGTTAGATAAGTATTGCTATATTAATAAGGCCATCAGGAGTTTTATGATGAAAGAAAAGGAAGTAGACAAAACAACTTATGTACATTTCTTGATGGTCCACATTTTTATGTGCATTTCTTTATCCTTAACCTTCCAAAGACAAGCATGTAAAACATATAAAATAATTTTTTAACATTGGTTTAAAAATAATGCTTTTAATAAATAGCATTATATAGCCATGCATTTCAATTATTTATATCTAATAACAAAAAGTAATGCATTCATCTCTGTATTTGAACATAGTACAGTGGGATTGTTATTTGAACAGTCATTCTTAAGTCTTAACTATACATGCTAATATGCTATTATTGCTTAACAATTAACAATGAGCAGTTGCGAGTTTTGTGATGAGAAAAAGGAACTAGAGAAAACAGCTCTATGCCTACCTAATAATACTTTCAAGCTTTAAGTGGCTAAATACAATAAGAGAACTAGATCAGCCTGAAATAACATTGCCACTATTATCTAAGAAAAAATATGTGGTCCAAGTTGTATGATAAATAAAGAAGCAAAATTCACACGCAAGATGGTTAGTGAGCCTACCAAAAAAATAAATTACTTGAGATAGCAAGTAACAAGGCCAGGAATTGGTACGCATCAGTATTGTTCAAGGTATGTCAGCAAAACTTCATGCTACAAAGTATTGTGTAGCACCAAATCAGCAGTTCTCATTGCTATTAAAGTTCCAGCTTTCTTCTTTAGATGATTATTCATCCTGCGAGTCTTCGACCAATGACATTACTGGAACACCTTTGCTTGAAAAACTTGAGCACTTCACCAGCACCTCATCACCAACCTCAAAGACCCTCTTGGCACCAGCCTGCAAAGAAAAGCAATAAGACAGTGATGTGAGTCGTCTAAAATGTGTGGAAAGGGATGCGGAGCCATGTGAGGAACTCCAAAATATTATTCCTAGTTTTGCTTGGCACGCTTACTCATCATCATCATTACCCCAGTGCCACAAAGGCTCCCCCACTTACGGTAGGGTAAGGGGGGTCGGATGTACGCAGTCTTACCTTTGTACTACATCACAAGAGAGACTGTTTCCGGATGACTATAGTGAAAATTGCGTCGAAAATTGCATGGCCTAACTGCTGCTTGGCACGCTTACTAAGAAAATGGATCAAGAAAACTCTCTCCAAAAGAGAATGGGAGGAAAGTTTTTGCGACGTCCCAAAAAAGAAGTGAGAAAATTACAATGTTCTGACCAAGGGAGTAATAAAAAGCTTCATGAAGAAATGCGAGCAAATAGCTAGAAGAAATGTACAATGTTTCTGACCAAAATTTTAAGAAGATAAATAGCATTGCAGATCATCATACTTCGAAACGATACGTTCCAAGAATAAGATGTAGACATACCTCAAAACGATACATTCCACGGACCCCACCACCTAAATCAAGCACTAAACCAAGTTTCCGTATCTGATGCACTTTGGCAGTGAGCTTCATTCCAAGCTTCAGCGTATTTGCTTTTAACGGAGTCACAAATTTAGCAGCATTGTTGTTCAAGTCACTCCTAGGCTTTCTTGGTGACGAAGAAGTTATTTTCTCTTTATTCTCTTTTATGGTTTTCTTTGTATTTCTGGAAGAATGATGCAACTCTGGGGATGAGTTAATACCACTTTTTTCCGACTCTAAAGAGTTCACCGACTCTTTATCATCAGATTTAGAAGCAGTCGTGCAGCTACTATTAGTTTTACAATTTAAATACACTTCGGTAGTTCTTTCCTCCTCATCACATTCAGCAGCACTACGTATCAAGAATGCTGGTTTTTCAGGGGTGGAGGTCTGCCCTGCTCTTTCATCACACCCTGGAACCCCAACCCCCAGGCTAACATTTTGTTTTTCCTGCTCATTACAGACTTCAACAATAGGATCCCATCCATTAGATGTTTGGCTTGTTGTACCCAAAGCAGATTCACCAGCAGCATCATACTTCTTTGATTTGGCTCCAGGTAGAGTGGTTTTTAAAGATAACTTTATGTTACCACGCACGTCCCGCCCAATGCACATCAAAGAGAGTTGTTGGCCAACAGATACTACATCTGAAACTCGTGATACCTGACAAGTATAAGGCGTGCAACAATATAAAGTATAGGCTGCATACATATCAAATTTACACATAGGAAGAAGTCGAGAATGAGCTTGGATTTTCTAAAGGTAATATTTTATGCACCAAAGGTTATATGAATCTATATATGGTGACCAAACAGTGACATGCTGCTGCATTTAAAAGCACAAAAAAATGACCAAAACATGTCAAGGCATTTTCAGCAAATACATTGCAATTCATTAATAAAATATATTGCAAAAATAATAAAATATGTGTCGTTACCCGTTACTCAAGTTTAACATAAACATTAATGTGATATCCCACACCTCCACAAGGCCGTAATTATCATAATCAGATCAAACCCAACTGATGCAGGAATGATGGAAGCAACAACTGTAGATAAAATTTGTCAAATTTAAACAATTGTTATGCGCTTTTGCTATCATACACATCAAATTACCGGTTCATGTGACAACTCTGAGATATGTAAAAGCCCTTGTTGACCACCATTGAACTCCACAAAAGCGCCATATTCTTTAACCGTGGTCACAACCCCTTTGTAGACACCTCCTACTTCAATTTCACGGCCTATGATGAAATCAACCTGAAAGAAGCCAAATGAAATCAATAAAA